CATTTTTCTTTCGAAAATGCTGAATTTCTGCTTCCGGCGCCCTGGAAGCCGTCCGGGCCGATTCCGGCCCCGACAATCCTGGGATCAAACTTCTTTGGTCCAGATCAAGTTTCCTGATCCGGATCAATTTTCTTGCTCGGGAACAAGAATTGGATCAAGATTTTTGATCTTGGTTACTAATATATAGCTGGATCAAGTTTCTTGATCCAGTATATGCGCGCGCCACGCGTGCTCGGGACGCCCGCATGTCACGTAAAAGGGACCGAGGGTAAAGCATAGTGGATCGGTCCGTGATGAATGCCGCGTGTCGGTTTAGTTTGGGATACCACCCCAATGGGGTATGATAGCAAAGGGATTAACCATTACAGGCCTTCAAAGTTTGGAAATTTGAACGTTTCCAAACTTTAACAGTTTGGGCATCCAGAGGGCGCCAAAGTTTGAACGTTTGAAAATCTGAAGTTTGGAAATTTGAAAGTTGCAGAACACTGCACAGCTTCAGAGTTCAAACTTTCAAACTTTCAAACTTTGCATGTGTACCCCATTCAAAGTTTGAACATTTGAAAGTGTCAAAGTTTGAATTTTGAAAATTTCCAAACTTTGAAACTTTGAAAGTTTGAAGGTTTACAGATGTGAGTAGGAATAGGGGATGGGGAATTGGACTAGGGAACAAGGAGTTTGGAGTAGGTAATACGGAGTAAGGAGTTAGGGGTGGTGATTAGGGCTTCGGGGGTAGAGAGTAGGGTGAGGAGTAGTGAACAGGCAGTTGAGACTAGGGAGAGGGCGGAGGTAGGGATTATATATTCTATAGGGAGTCGGGAAAAGAGACTAGAAAAACGAACCCACGGGTATCGGGCAAAGAGGGAGTACGGAGTAAGGAGTTAGGGGTGGTGATTAGGGCTTCGGGGGTAGAGAATACGGTGAGGAGTAGTGAGCAGGCAGTTGAGACTAGGGAGAGGGCGGAGGGTAGGGATTTTTTTTAATATTCCATGGGGAGTAGGGAAAAGAGACTGGGCAGTGAGGAGTAGGGAGTACACACACACGCACACACACGCACGCACACACGCACACACACACACACACCTCTCCCCCCCTCCTCACCCTTCCCCTTTATCCCCTCATTCCCTTCCCCCCTCACCCACCTCCTCCTCCCTCAACCTTCCAATCCCTCGCCCTTCCCTTGTCCCACTTTCCTCCCCCCCCCGCCCCCTCCCCCCTTCCACACCTCCGCCCCCCCGCCCCCCTGCTCTCCCCCTGCAACCCCTCAACCGCCACTCCCCTCTCTCCCTTCTCCCCCTCCCCCCCACCATCTCCCCCTCCGCCCCTCTCCCCTCTTTCCTCCCCCCCGCTCCCCCCCCCCTCCCCCCCCAACCCAACCCAACCCAACCCCACCCACCACCACCACCACACCACCACCACCCACCCCACCACCCACACCCACCACCACCACCACCACCACCACCACCACCACCACCACCCACCACCACACACACACACACAGACACACATACACACTGACACGCAGACACACAGCCACACAGACACACAGACGCACACACATGATAATGGTATTCTCTAAAATCTAGCACAGCAGTGCACGGCATATCATATCATATATTATAGAATAGAGTAGCACTGCGTTGCTCAGCATAGCACAGCATGGCGTCACACACCTGGGGCCCAACTGGGTCAGCGGCTTATGTCTCGCACTAGTCAAACCATGAGGGGGGCGTCTGACCTGAGAAGTGGGCCGCGGGCTGTGTTCCTCCTCCCCCTCCTCCTCTTCCTCCTCTTCCTCCTCTTCCTCCTCCTCCCACCCTTCCTTCTCATCCTCATCCTCCTCCCTCTCCTCCTCATCCCCCCCGACGACCATTACTATTTCGAGTGCTGCTACTACGTTTGCTGCGTTTGGTTCCCGAGCTCACCCCTGCACTTTGTGTTGTCTTATATGATCCTCCCTTCTCACTCCTCGACAGCCATTCTGGCTCCAGGCGCCCACCGTATTTCTCCATATCATATGCCTGTGAAAGAGAAGAGGGCATGCAACCTTGGCCCGATCGCCCCGACTTCAACTTCAAAATTCGACGCTGCGTTCAAAAGGTATGCTGATGCCACTCCCTCTAAGGATATATTTTCGTTCGGCTCGTACACTTCTTTGAGACGGTCTCAGGGAGCGGATTGGGATGGCATCAAATACATGAAGCCTCTTTTGCTAGCTTTGTGTGCAGAGACAGCACACATCCGTTTCCTTCCTCTAGAAATGCGTTCGGCGGTTGGTCGGTTCATCAAGTATTATAAGACGAGGTACGACATCGATATCAATACAACTACGTTCAATAACTTTGATTTCTCACGGACAATTGGCTATCAGATATTGAATGCATTGGCTCATCTACGGGCGCTGCTCAGAAAAACCTACAGGTACGGCCAGCTGGTCAAGCGATTATCCTTTTCAGAGAAGAATGAGCTCGACAGTTTCTTGATGGAGGCTCTTGGGGCATCGGGGGCACTGCAAATGTATCACCCGCATCGGTTGGCTATTCCGTCCCTTCCTCCGCCTCCTGCTCCGCCTCATCCTCCTCCTTCTTCTCCTCCTTTCCTCTTCCTCCTCCACCTCCCCCTCCTCCCCCCCCTCCTCCTCCACTACAAGAGCGCGCACCACATAACCACACTCACCTCATACGAAATTTGCCACGTTCCGCCTGCTACGACCATTACTATTTAGGGCTGCTAGAACTACTACAACTACTACAACAACTACTACCACCACGACTTCGAATACGGCTCCTACTACTGCCACTGCCGCCACGAATACTGCTAATACTACTACTGCCATTGCCGCCAGTAGCACTACTAGTACGACTACCACTACTACTACGACTGTTGATACTAGTGTCATTACTGGTACTACATGCACTACCGCTACTCTGATTACCGATAATACAAGTACTACTTCTACTACGACTACAAATTCTACTACACATCTTGAAACGATTATGTTTGCAAGTATCCCCGTTGCAATTGAGACTACGACGAGCAGTACCATAACTACGATATACTCAGTGGCTAGTTTCGTAGAGGTGTACCTTCTGGTTAAGTATGGTTATGTGGTGCGCGCTGTTGCACTGGAACTAGCAAACGATACAACGATACATTAGCACTGTACCAAATGCTCGTCACGAGGTTCACGATTTGATTGACAAGTCTGATCTGTCTGGTGCTTCCGACCCTGAGGACCACCACGGTGCCGACATCACCCCTCCTTCAGCCACCCGCGCGCTCGCTTGTCGCAGCAGCCCTGCTCGTGCCAGCAGCCCTCCAGCCAGCAAACTGTTCGAGTCAGACAGTGATATCAGTGTTGATTCCAGCGGTGTGCCTAAATGTTTCGGCGCCAGCTCCAGCAATGTCGATGATATGAGTGCAGGGGGCACGTTGTTCAGCGCAGCAGTTGAGAGGTCGTCGGAACCACTACCTACAGCCCGTGGGGGGATGAAAAAACTGTCAGGTGTTAAGAAAAAGCCAGCGAGTTGTCATCCCGTTTCAGCTACTAAAAGTTTCGGCATGGTTCGCATGTGTCGGTACACGACAGCATCGTATCTTCTTCAGCAAGACGTTGACAAACCTGGGAAATGGACTTCTATTGTGAATGTTGGGAATTGCGATAATCATGCTGCCATTGCGAAGCAAATTTTCGATTACATTATACAGAATAAGAGCACGAAAGAGAAAGCAATCGCGATGAAATGCAAATTGGTTGAGGAATCACGGAATAAGACGAGTAGAGCTATCAAAAAAAAAAACAGCTGTTGCAACAGATTCTCACGAGGAGCCTCACGAGGAATCCGAGCCTGAGGGTGCGGCAGTCTCAGGCGTGTTCTCTGAATCACCCAACGATGGTGATGGCGCTCCTTGGTGGGAGGACTTGTAAGTTCGATTGGAGCAAGTCTACAACACAAAAAAAAAAAAAAAAAACATCGAAACAATCAAGCTAAACAAAACGGCGCTCACACGTGCCAGGGCTTCGAAAGGGGAGGTACATTACACGCCGCATGTGTTCAGGGGAGGTATCTCACACGCTGCATGCGATCAGGGGAAGTATCTTACACGCCCCATGTGGTCAGGGGAAGTATCTTACACGCCCCGTGTGATCAGGGGAAGTCTCTTACACGCCGCATGTGATCAGGGGAAGTATCTTACACGCCCCATGTGATCAGGGGAAGTATCGTACACGCCGCATGTGATCAGGGGAAATACCTTACACGCCGCATGTGGTCAGGGGAAGTATCTTACACGCCGCATGTGATCAGGGGGGTATCGTACACGCCGCTTGCGATCAGGGGAAGTATGGTACACGCCGCGTGTGATCAGGGGAAGTATCGTGCATGTGATCAGGCGTTGTCTGCCAGAGCTCTGGGGAAGTATCTTGAACGCCGCTTGTGACCAGTCTTTACCCGCGAGTGCTCTGACACGCTCACAGCACACACGAAGTAAAACTATAGACAGCATGCGCTCGAAGCACACACATAGTGATGTATTGACAATCAGATGCACACTCACAGCAAGACTCACACTCGCACTCAGACTCAGTCACAGTCAGACTCACAGTCATACTCACACTCACAGTGAGACTCAAACTCAGACTCATACTCACACTCATACTAGGACTATTGACAGCCACAGTCAGACTCACACACACAGTCAGACTCACTCACAGGCAGACTCACAGTCAGCCTTACGTTAACACTCATAGCCAGACTCACTACAGTAGGACCCAGACTCAGTGATTTTACATCACAGATTCCAAGTCAATGTGTTGTTGCTGCCTTCGACCATTGCCATCTATCCTCGAGCTGCCAAGTGGTGTTGGTAACTGACCCGCTCTGCGCCAGAATGGCGCCCAAAGGCATCGGCCCCCGACCTGCTGCTGCCGACCCCGTCAAGGGCGCCAAGGTTGCCAAGCGCCCATCGGCCGTCGTGGCCGCCCCCCCCCAACAGATTCGGAGGAACCCGTGAAAAAACCCAGGGCTGACAAGAGCGCCCTAGATGGGCGCATCGAGGAGTTCCAAAAGATCATGGGCAAGGAGCTTCAGTTCGGTAAACGAGTTTCCCTTTCAGCTCGGGTTGGACACAGCATAACACAACACTCACACACAGGATCCCACCCTTACTTGTCTTTGGAGTCGTGCGCTCCTTTCTTTCTTTGGAGCCCGAGGAGCCAGACCCGAAGAAGACCAAAGAATTTTTCTCATCGGCGGAGATGTCGGCACTCTGGCAGAAACTCAAGACTGCACGGAACAAGAGCGAGATGTCGGTGAGAGAAGCGTGGGATGCGATCGCAGCTTTACCAGCTCGCTCAGGAAAAGAAGAGAAAACAAATGATACTCTTTGGTTGTTCCTCAAGGATCCCAGCGGTGATCAGTGGAAGACAATGCTTGTCAAAGAGAGCAACAAGTTGACGAAATCATCTGTCAGTGGATCGAGGGAGAGACCCTTGTACAAAGGAGATCAGGTTACCCAACGTATACATCCTACTCGTCCTTACCTTTATGTTACCTCATGTTTCTCTCTCTCTATCTCTCTCATCCAGTATTTCAGGAGAATTGGAACAGATTCATGGAGAAGCGGAAGCAGCTGAGTTTATTCGGAAAGGTAAATTCAAGGAAACGAGGGATGAGGACGGGGACATCTGCTATATCAAAAACGAGAAGTACAGGGAGACTTCGACCAGGGAGGAGATCACTGCAGAAGTTGAGAAGTCCAATGGGGCGCCTGTATCTAGCAAGTGGTGCACGCAATGCGCAACACTGAACACATCAAACCAATTTTGAAACAGTTTGAAACGGTTTTAACATACCTGGAAACAACCAAAAACTATTACAGATGCATTACAGATGTATTACGTAATGCATCTGTAATGCATCTGTAATAGTTTTACGTGGATCATTGTATGGTTTCAGTTTGAATTTGTAAGGTAGTATTCGCTTCTGATGCTTTCAGTTTTTGTTCAGGGCTCGTCAGTCGTGACATTGTGTGTACGCTTGTTCGATCTCCTAGGTCTAGGCGTGTCGACGCATCGGAGTACGACCAACACTCAACTGTCATGAGCTCTTGGTTCGAGGCTGAGACCGCCAGCTCGATGTTCGGTGCCGTCATGAAGAAGCCCGCAGGCAAGCCGCTGCCGCCAGAACACTCGGATGCTGACGGCGCTGGCGACGAACATGATCATGGGGAACCTCCAGCGCCCAAGGTGTGACCGTATCCTACTATTTCTTATCACCTTCTCTTATCCTCACTCTCATTCCTACCCCTCAGAACGATATCGAGACGATCAAGGCTGCGACGAGGAAGGCGATCAACACCATGAACAAGCTGACCCTGAAGGCCCAGGACTACTCCGTGCGCTGCAAGGCCGACAAGCTCGCGAAGCCCACCAAGGATGCATTGTTGGACACGTCTAAGCAGGCCGAGGCAGTCGCCAAGACGCTCAGGGCGGCGCTGGCCAAGCGGACCCCAGACAAGAAGGAGATGAAGAGGGAGATGATGAACGCAGCCAGACCCATGGTCTCCTCAAAGGAGCTCTTCACGAACAAGGCTTTCTTCAAGAAGTCAGACTAGAGTATGATTTCGAGTTGAATGCTACGACGTGCGTTGGCCAATCATCAATGGTTACGTTCGATTGTGGCTGATGGTATCGATTGGATGTTGTGGCTGATGGTATCGATTTCCATATTTTGCAGTTTGCTGGTGTTGGTGGATTCTCGCTAACAGGCCTTCCTTCACCACGCTCAATGTGGCCCCCAGGGACGCCTCGAATCACCCACAATTTCCTCATGCACGGCCTGCGGGCCCACCTGGGCCCGAGTGTGCCTGTCCGAACGGGGCCCGCCAGCGGCGCAGGGCGCGCATAAGGAAATGTTGGGGGCCTCGAGGCGCCCCTGGGGGCCACATTAGCCTAAGTTGCATCCTGTTGCGCATCGCCCCATTAGGAGCGGAGGCGCATGGCGCGCATGAGGCAATGCCTGATGCACTAGTTTGAATTTCAGTTATAGTAATGATGCACTCAATGGCATGGACCGTCCAGTGGGGAGATCCCAGCCTCGAGTTTCCGATACAGTAGTGATTACATGTGTGATGCGTCACTCCTCGCTGTTGCGCCCGCCCAACTGTGGACCTCGTCCGTTGGAGAACGTGCGACCCTTGCGCGTGCGCATCGTTGTTCCTCCTGCTCCTCCTTGGGAAGGAGGAGGAGGATGAGGATGAAGATGAGGAGGAGGAGGAGGAGGGGGAGGAGGAGGAGGAGGAGGAGGAGGAGGAGGAGGAGGAGGTGGATGAGGAGGAGGAGGAGGAGGAGGAGGAGGAGGAGGAGGAGCAGGAGCAGGAGGAGGAGGAGGCGGTGATGGGACCGATTGTGAATACTATGGTCAGACTTCGCCACAGCATAAGACCGCCGAATTGAACAGTAGACACCTAAACTATTGACAGAGTCGCAACCAGAGTTGTAAAGTGTAACCATAGTTGTACACATAGTAGTGGGAACGCAACATTCAATTCTGTCATCATACAACAAACAATCGCAACACTCAACAACTGCTCAACACATACCAATACATTTTCAAAGGTAGGGATTAGATAATACGGGCTCGGTGTCGATCGGGTATCCTGAAATCGAAGACTGAGATGGTTTCGAAACTTTTGAGCGTTTGTAACGTTGAAACTTTTGGAACTTTTGAAACTATTGAAACGTTTGGAACTTTTGATAAGTTTGAAACTTTTGAAACGTTTGAAACTTTTGAAACGTCTGGCACGTTTGAACCTTTTTGAAATTGAGTGAAACCAGGTCAAAACCCTCGGGTGAACCAGGTTGGTCAAACCCCTCGGGAGAACCAGGTTGGTCAAAACCATCGGGAGCAACCTGGAGTCACGCAAAATCAGGAGGCGGAGAAGGAGGGGGAGGAGGAGGAGGTGAGTCAAATTTTCAAACGTGGAAAACTTTTGAAGTTTCAAACTTTTGAACTTTCAAACGTATGGGTTGGCATTCTAACACTGCAAGCTTTCCCTGTACATTGTCAAGCTTTATGATTTTATAACTTCCAAACTTGCAAGCTTTGAAGGCCCTTAATTTTTAAGCACTCTGATAAACTAGGGGTAACATAATGTTAAGAGCCAGTAGCGCTAACACTCAGCAACATTCAACGGACAACATAATGTTGAGAGCCAACAATACAAACATTCAACAACACCAACAACATTCAACACACGTCAACATTCAGTAAACAATACAATGCCAACACTCAACACTACCGAACAACAATTCGCAACACGATGCCAACACTCGACACACGCAAAGCTCGTAGCCCATTTTGGCTCAGACCAGCCATCCAGGTACATACCACCACTTCTGGAAATCCATGTTTCATGGAATCACCTTGGACGGCGACAGTAAAAGCAAGGGTTGCAACCAGCGGTGGATGGTCGCAACGTCAAGCTCACGTTGCAGATACATGCGCAGAGCAGGGCACCAAGACCCACAGCAAGCTTGCTGAAAATCTGTTGCTGCTTGTGGGATGGGGCCTAATAAGTTCTTGCACAGCGCAATGGTTGGCGCAGTCAGCAGTTGACGACGGGCTCGATCAGCCCGACACCACAACTCTAAGTGCCATCGGTTGCCACGGCGAATATCCAGGCAATTGTCGCAGGGATCTGTTGAGAGCGTTTTGCAATAACATGTCAGTGCCGAAACCGTTTACTGTAGTATTGCCGATGGTGCAAAAAGATTTGTCAGTGTTCGATTCACCTATTAGTTTTCTCAATCCAGCTGAAGTCATAGATGTGATGTACAATGAGTATCCTTCTGCATTTGAGGAAGCGTTTGGGGGAGACCCTACGACCTTCTGGAACGGAGTTCGCCCGGACGACCCACGGCTTGCAAGTTTAGGTGAAATGACGTCTAGGCCAGACTGGAAACAAAAAGCTATACCGTTGGTGCTCCACGGTGATGGCGCGCCTTTCACGAAAAAGAATGGGCGGAACTTGATAGTTGTCAACTTGAAGGGTTTGCTGGCGAAAACTTCCAAATGGATCATGCCACTTATTACCGTGGTGAAGACATGCTTGTCTACCGAGGACCACACATTTGACAAAATATGGAGAGTTCTGCGACACGTGCTGAATGCCCTCTTTTATGGGAAGCATTCTGATGTGGATCCTTGGGGCAGGGAATGGGACGAATATAGCAAACAATCTACGATTGCAGGTGATGATATATGCAAGGGTAAACATTTTTTCGTTGCATGGCAACTCCAAGGGGACCAAGAATGGGCCAGCAACGAATGGGGGTACCCGCATTGGGGCAGTGATTTCGCGTGTTGGCTCTGCCAAGCTGGCAGAGGTGCTGCGCCCTACCAGTTCACAGATGTGCATCCTCGGGCAGAGTGGGAAAGACACCTCGTGGAACCTGGCCCTGATGTAGAACCGCTCTCAAACAATGAGGTCTTCAACGTAGTTGGAGTCGACAGGTGGCACTACATGGGCGATCTCATGCACTGCGGTGACTTAGGCGTTCTCTTGTATTTCCTTGGCTCTGTTCTCACGGAGTTGGTTTTCGACGGGCCGTGCACTGGTACAGCTGACAAGAAGGCGAAGTTATTGTGGCAAGACATACAAGAGGTGTACGGACTTCTTCACATTACGAACAAGCTCACAAATCTGAAGATACAAATGTTCAGGCCAAGCGCTACGGAGTTTCCGTTTCTCAAGGCTAAGGCGGCAGAGTCCAGATCGTTATTGTACGCCCTTGAGTATTTGTGCGCCAGGGTCAACACTGGATCCGACAGGGACAATCACAGGCTTGCAGCGTTGGCGGCTCTCGCTTCTATGTACAGAAACTTGACTGGTGGAAGCATGTTTTTGTCGGCAGGTGAATCATCTGATGCGCTGCGAGACGTGGAACGGTTCCATGTGCACTACAATTGGTTGACGACTACGGCCGTATCAAATGGCAAGTTGTTGTACAATTTTACAATGAAGTTCCATATGCTGTGGCATGTCGTTTATATGTCAAAGTACCAGAATCCGTGTAGCACATGGTGCTACGATTTCGAGAGTTTCATGGGATATATGGTCTTGAGCGCGAAGTCATGCATCGCAGGAACCCCAATGGAGATGGTAGGGAACAAATGTCTTGAGAATTTCTTGCTCGTGTTAGAGCTCTCTTTGAACCGTGCTGTGCGCGAGGGTTGATAAATATATAAAGGCTTGCGCCATGATAACTGGGAGGCTTACGCCAACCCGCTGGGCCCAAACAAAAATATACAGGCTTACGCCATTATAGTTGGGAAGCTTGCGCCAACCCGCTGAGCTCTGAGATGCCGCTCAAGAGGTGGTCCAGCACATTTCGCTTGAGACATCCTCGCAATTCTTCGCCTGAGACATCCTCGCAACTCTGGCTAGGCACGCAGCGATAATAACATCAGATGATGCTATTAGTAATTGATGATATAACAATAGAAATCATAGGACATCGGCCGCAGTAACACTAACGACTGGAATTGCAACGCAGAAGCAGTAGTAATATCATCCGTAGCTAGTACGCCGACACCTACTTACAAACAACAAGCGCGCGTGGAGCCCCGCATCAGTACGCTTGCGGCTACGAGTGGAGGGGGGGGGGGGAGAAGGAAGGGGGGGGAGGGAGGAGGAGGAGAGGAGGAGGAGGAGGAGGGGAGGGAGGAGGAGGAGGGAGGAGAGGAGGAGGAGGATGACGATGATGATGATGAGGAGGAGGAGGAGGAGGAGGAGGAGGAGGAGGAGGGGGAGGGGGGCCGAGGACCCCCGAAGGCCGCCGAAGGCTGGCGCCGAGGAGGGGGAGGAGGAGGAGGAGGGGGAGGAGGAGAGGGAGGAGGGGGAGGACGAGGGGGAGGAGGAGGAGGAGGAGGAGGAGGAGGAATATGAGGAGGGATTAGAAGGAGGAGGAGGAGGAGGAGGGATTAGGAGGAGGAGGAGGGGGGGGAGGAGGAGGAGGATGATGAGGGGTATGGATGAAAAAAACTCGTCGTCCTCCTCGTCCCCCCCCCCCCCTCCCACTCCACGCAGTCCCCGCGCAGCCGCGCGGCCGTCGAGCGCGAGCTCGACCAGCAGTTCGACCAGCGGCTCGACCAGACTGCAAACTACAGCAGACTTGCAACGCGGGGTGGACGCTCTCGGGCCCGACGGGCCCTTTTTGTATAGTGCCCTATTGGGCGCAAGCTTACCCTGTTTGGGGCCAACTAGACCCCGTGGGCCCCATGGGCCACATTGGACTTACATCGAAACGAACTGGGCCTCAATGCCCCCCCGTCCAGCCGTTTATATACTTTGCCCCATCCCCCGCCCGCCCCACCCCACCCCCGTCCATGTCTTACTGGGCCCCATCGGGTTCCCTTGGGGCCCATGCCACGTCCGCGTGTCCCGCATAGGGGCCAGCCCAATCTGCGGGTCGCGCCCCGTTAACACCATGTGGGTCCCACCCCATAGGTCCCCATATGGGTCCCGCCCGATAGGTCCCCATCGGCCCCAACCCTCTAGGTCCCGATCACCGATCTCGCCGCGCCGACCACCCTGGCCCAGGCAGAGGCCCA